GGATGCCCACAATTAGAAACCAAACTGTAGTCATGGAAATTGTTCCCATTTGGTGTTTTGCAGTCTTTCTTCAAGGGACAAATAACATGATCCTGTCATTCCTCTCCAGGATCTATTCACATTCTACTAATATCACCACATGCAGTCACCTTCAGATGTGTGGTTAAGTTAAAGTCTAAGGAACAAAATCCTTCTTTCATAAATCTCATTCACTCAAGGGATGTTTGCTGGTCCCCTCAAAACCAGCCAATACAACTGTGAGTGTACTTTGAAGAGTCGTCACTGTAAGTCATATGTCTCCCCAATTCCAAAACAAGAATATGCTTGTTTCAGTATGCTTCACTCTAGGCAAATATCAGCCATATCAAAATATGGAGTAGAGCTATGTCCCTGATGGACAGTAGCAAATGAAGGGGCTGTGGGGCTGAACTGTACCGGATATTGCCTAGAAGGCTAAACCATGGGACTAACAAAGAAAAATAATATAAACAATACTGGATATCCAGAAGGCATGAAACCAGATGTTTGTCTAGTTGGTTTAATCTTTCTAAATTCTATTAAACATGCTCTCTTTCTACAAGCATTACCCTCCTCTTGTTCTAATTTTTCTATTACATATAGCCCAAAGAAATACACATACATAAAAACACGTAGACAGTACAATTATTCGTATGACCCCATTATCGAACAAAATTGGATGCTGTTTTCATTTTTTAAGGGAGAGTCAATTCTTATGTTTTAAAATCTTTCCTTCCCCTTTCCAGCAATTGTAAGTTGCTTTCAAGAGATTATATGTCTAAGTAAAATTTAAAAAAGTTTCTCTCAACCGCATTCACAAGAAGTGATTATCGTTCATGAAACAATTACAACACCATAAGTGAATCCTCGGGGTCTGTGATCACTATTCTTTCTGAACTACCACTTTCCAACAGGAAAGCGGACCGTGGGCGAAGTGTAAGAAAAGGTAGTTTGGAGTAAAATCAAGCGCTACCACGAGTTAGTATCTAGATAAAAGGGTCAGTGCTGGTATTTTACTTAGTCCAAGGAAACTGCACTTCACTACGGCTCATGATTGCTCCACACGGAGGACAGACGTGCGTTTATTAAAAGAAAGGCTGGAAAATCCAGGGGAGAGAAGCCGAAATCTGTCAGAGAGGAGAGGTGCAGGACCAGGAAACTTATTTCCGACTCTCGACAAGGTAGGACGATACCAGACCTCCGCGGCTCCAGCGTGTTCACCACAGAACCTTTTTCCTGCTGCCACCACCATCCTGCAGAACCTCTTCTTCTTTTCCACATAGTAACCGCATCGACCCTCAGCTGGAAAGCCGGTCGCATGCGGCGTCGGCGCAGAAGACGCCATAATTCGGGCTCGCTTCGGGAAACGAGCATCAGGTGAAGGAAGGGAAAGTTGT